GGAATCCTAGGTGCTGCAGTTCTTCTTTTTTTGGTGCTCGACCAGGCGGTGTTAGACCGTCTCCCGGAATCATTGTGAGTGGTGGGGGCAATGTCGTCAGGGCTCTGGCTTTGGGTGCATTGAAGCGAGAGAGCAAACAAGGTGGATTTGGTGGTACGCGCGTCCAAGTCAGCTGACCATGTCGGACCCCAGTCACAGGGCTGGAAGCAGAGGCCGATGGACGCAGCCCGACGTTGGGGAGGCGAGCCCTAGAGGCTGGGGCAGGATCGGAACAGAGAATGAAAAGTGCCGGGGATGCGATGACGCCCAACACTGTGGAGGCGAGATTTTTTGGACGGAAAGGGGCAAGTCTCGTGACCGTATGGAGAGAGCGACACTCCTACGCACTACTGGTCTCTCGATGTCGAGGCCGATTAGAGTTCGCAGCCAGCAGAGCCAAGAGCGGGGGGGTCATCGTTGGGTGCTGACGCGTCTCAGCCACGACTGCAGCGAGGAATGTGGCCTACATTCCACAAGTCAAAACGACGCGTTCCTGGGCGCATGACAAGCGATGCCTTCATGCTCTGCGTTCCTTAGACGATGGCGATGCATGGAGCGGGGGGTCCTTGGTGTGCCTGCATGGAGGTACGTACGTGCTTCCGAGGTTGGTGGGTGTGCCGGCCATCGCATGCAGAACGGCCGGCACGATCCTCATCCAAGGGCTTGGCAAGGCGCGCCGTCGAGACGCCAAGTGGGAAAGGAAAATCGCATGATTCCCTCCAAGCGTGCACAGAAGCATCATTCCGCAGCGGATTCGACACCGCACCGGTTTTTCTGACGCAGCCAAGTTGCAGCACTGGCGAGCTGCGGTAGCGTCACCAGCGAAGAGCAGGGTCTGCTTGCTTTGGCTCGACAGGCGGCGTAGCATAGCGTGCGTGAGCCGGATCAGCCGAGCTTGGCAGTCGCACTCACGCTGTCCGCACTGCCGCCCAGTGCCAAACAAGCAAGCGAGTCACGGACCAACGGGGCGGAATCCAGGCGAGGGCGGGACCCAGTCGGCCTCCCCGCACCACCAGCAGCGCAACCTTTTCGGCACACGCGCGCCGTCAGCTTATTCCAAACGGCAGCTTACAAGCAGGGGATGCGTGCGGACGTTGAATGTTTTCTCGGGAGACACATTCCAGACCTCTCTGCTTCTGACCTCGCAGAGCTTGGGTGTCCTACTCTCTATCGATCCGATGCGGTCGGGAGCGCGGGGCCAAGACATGGCCAAGCGTTGGTGGTTGTAGCATCGCCCACCTCTGCATTCCAAGATCACCAACACCGCTCGGAGTACCGTCGTCGTCAGGTGGGAACGATCTGCATATGAGCCGGCGAGGGGCTTGGCAACGAGAGCAAAGTGCCAAGCGAGGCGACAGCATGGACTCGCTCGCCTTGTTGGTCGTGCCTCAGCCGTCTCGGCTGCAAGCGAGCGAGCAGGTGGAGCCTCGACCGCGCCGGTCGCTTCAGTAAGCACCAAAATCGCTTTCTATCAGATGATGCTGCTGCTGCTGCTGCTGCTCGGCAGGTGCGAATCTGAGCCCACGGCATGACTACACACGCTCGCCTCATTCCGCACTGCCGGCTTGGCCCCAAAAGAATTAATTGCTGAAAGGAAAAAAAAAGAAAGGCCCTTTGTTCCGAACCCTGACTGGCTTGGCCTTACAGTTGATTGATTGGGCTCGCAGACGGCGCTGCTCCCCCGCGGGCCACTGTTCCCGAGCGTTGAGCCAAGCTTGCCGCTGCTTCGGCCGCTGCTGATGCAGCTGATGCAGCAGCTGCAGCGGCCGCGAGTCCAATGCACACTCCCGGCTGCCTCTGCCGAGAAGTGCACTTCTCTGCGTTGGGCCCTGAAGACGCTCACTTGGCCAACCCAGCCAGATCCAAACCCACCAACCGCGCCCACCAACCAGCCCCACCAGCTCCCACCAACTCTCCACCCTCCCTTTGTCGACCCCATCTAGCCCTCGGACAGCTAGAGATTCCACCTCCATCACTCACCGCGACGATACCCTCTCTCTCTATCTCGGTCGCGCGCACCGCTTCGCAAACATCGGCTCGGGAAACGCTCACGCATTCAATGCTGCTCTAACCGTACGACTCCTCCGCTACGCCCAAGCTACGCTCGATCGACAGCCTCAATCTCGCATGCGGTAGACTCCGGACACCAACCTCCAGATCCATCCAATCGCTCGCTTGCTCGCCCCTCATGAGTGTGCCGGCCGCGGATACATACGCCGAGGCCGGGCCATCGTCGTTGCGCGCCCCACACCACGACCCAGCCATACGACGCAGCAAAACGATCAACTACCCTCTTCACCACTCTCCACCTGCTACCACAGCTTCGGCGCCTTCGGCTGGCTCAGCGGTCCATCAGCTTGCCCTCCCAATCCAGCTCAACTATGCCGCCGCCAAATCCAACGACATCGCCGTCGGCGAGCTTCGAGGTCCCACGCTTAGCCCTTCGCGGCGCGGAGACACCCTCCGTGCCTACTCACGACAACGCCGCGTCTTCTCGGATCGCGATAATGCTCCTCAAGCAAGTCCGGACCGCTTCGCCCGCAACTTGCCCCTTCCAGCTCCCGCCTCGCCCTCGCTTCGCCTTGTGCAGTCAATGCGCAACACCGATCCAACCGGCGTCTCCGCTCTCCTTTTCTCCTCCACCAACGACGATCCAGATGCGCTCCTCGCCGCGCCCAGACACTCGTCCTACCATCTAGACGCTCCTCTCGACGAAACACAGTCCTCCATGTCCAGCACGCCCAGCTTGACGAGCCCAACCTCCACCCTCTCGCGCTCCACCTCGCTCCGATCAGCACGCGACGAACGTGCCACCTTCCCAGCTGGCACTCGCTACCTCTCGCTCAATGCCTCCTCCGAACTCCCCACAATCGCAGCAGAAGGTCTCTCGCCCGAGTACGGCGCTTCCAACTGGACACGTAGGGCCAGGAGGTGGTCCAACTCCATGTCGCGCAGGATGAGCATCACCGCTCTCAACCACACGTTGCACTCCACAACCACCCCGTACCTCAAGGCCGGCCTTCAGGAGCTCCGCTCCATCTTTGACGTCGACACCCTCGGCGCCGCCCTCGACGACCAGCACGACGATGACGACCTCGAGGGCGCCTCACCCATCGGCCACCACGCACGCCTGGCCTCCGACCACGAGCGTCTCCGACTTTTCAGATCAAGCGGTACCGCCTCGTCGCTCGCAGCCTCGCGCCAGCAAGCCGTCTTTGAATCGCCCGAAGACTTGACGCCAAACCTTTCCCGTCAGAGCAGCTCCGAGGACCGAGAGCACATCCTTCAGACTTCAGCCAGCCGGACCGCCATCAGCTTCAAGAGCCAGATCTACGAGGCTCCCGTGACACATCGTCGAGCGCAATCATGGCGCAAGCACAGGAGCCTCTCCATCTCGGACCTTCCCCTTCGCTCCGAGCTTGAGAGTTCACGCGAGAAGCAGCCGACCGGTCTTGTCCCCAACGCCTGTCCCGCCACGTCCAGTGGTCGAGACGGTGCTCCGCGTCCCCAGTCGATACGTGCGCCATTGGTGGCGGTCGGACTAGCTGCGCTCAGCGTCAGCATCGTCGCTCTGTGCGTTCTCGAGACGTCGATCCATCCGGACGCAGCCTCGATGCCTTTGACCGCCTTCATGCTTTCGCAGTCCGCCTTTGCACTCGTCGGAGTCGCGGGCCTGGCGCTGCAGAGACGCTGGCTCATCGACCTCGCCTCGCGCCTCATCCGCGCCCATGTCCTTTGCCAGGTGCTCATCGCCATGGCCGCGCTTCGCAGCCTCAGTCGCACCGCCTTCTACCGCGACCGCTTCGACCGAGCTACCTCCAATGCCACCATGTCGTCGGGCATGCTCACCTCCTCGCATCTGCTTTCGACACGCCTTGACGCGGATCCGCATACGTCGCTCGTTGGTTCGCTGGGCGACCAAGTGACCTACCTCTGCGTCTTCCTCGTCCAGGCCGCCTTGCCCCTTGCGCTCGTGCTGTGGGCGCAGTACTCGATGGCCACCACGCTCAGCCGCACCACACGCCAGCTCCCTGCCCACCGCACAGAACCGTCGATGCCCATCATCAAGGTGGCCGATGCGGTAGTCGTCGATGTCCCGCACAGCCACAGAATGCGCTACAACAGCGAGAATCCGTCCAACACCAAGAGCAGCACGCAGAGCATCGGCACCAGCGAGGGATGGCTCGGATTCGTCATTACGAGGATCGACGATTCGGCGTCCAAGCCGCAGTACGAACTGGATCCGCTCGAGTTGGCCAATAGACTGCAGGCGTTGGCTGGTGTGGAGAAGTAGAACCGATCCTGGCGATCGGTAATGAATTATACACAGTTCAGCCAGAGTGACCGCTTGACTGCCGCCGTGTGCAAGCGAGCTTAAAGGGTGGGTGAGAATCCGGGTCGTGCCCATCCCAACATCGCAATCAGGTACATAGAGCCCTAGCAGTCCCGCAGCAATCTTGGCACGAGGTGCGAGCCAGTCGGACAGGATGGTTCGGCCTGCCGCTGCCGTAGGGTCCTTTGCGCAATGATCTGCTGCCCCCTCGGCCTCGCGCACCCCCACAGCGAGCGACACTGCCCGTGGCAAATCTACACCACGCCCTGCCAGTACCCACTGCAAGCCGAGTGCGTGAGCGCGTCGACGCCAGCGATAGGCAGAGGCACAGCCGTGTGCCCAGAACGCGAGACTCAAGTCGCAGAGTAAGAAGACTGAGAAGAGGAGAGGTAAGCATACGTCGAGTTCAGCCTTGGAGCCGCTTCTCGACCCCCCCACACGCCCAGCCAGGCGCACGACTTGAATGAGCCAGCCAAGACCAATGTTATTTCAACCCAGACACGGCATCACAGCAGGCACCATCGCCACCGAAGCGTCCGGATTTTAGTCACGAACTGCAACACGTTCAGACACAGACCGACACCAATAGTGAGCCGCGCAGAGATAGGATTGAAAGCGTGAGGTCACAGCTGCGGGAAGATGTCGTCGCGGCGCTGGTGCCACAGCGGCATCTCCTGGCGCGTGTTCTCGAGCGCCTCGAGGTCCTGTTGAAAGCGAGTCGATGCACAAAGTGTCAGTCGAGGAAGAAAGCGGAAGACGCGATGGTGTGTGGCGCAGATGATGCTTACAATGTCGGCCATGCAGTAGGTGGCCTTGTACGGCTGAATATCTCTGTCAAGCATAGAAGGAAGAGGTCAGAATCATCACCAGCAGATACGGGGGCGTGGATGAGCTTACGGTGCTTGCGCGATGACGGATCCCCATGGATCGACGATCATCGCGTGGCCCCACGAGACGCGTTTGGTCCCGTCGTGCGCGCCGACCTGCGCCGCCGCCAGCACGTAGCTCTGCGTCTCGATGGCTCTTGCCCTCAGCAGCGTCTCCCAGTGTGCGGCGCCGGTGCGAACGGTGAATGCCGACGGGTATGTGAGCACCTGTGCGCCCTGGCGTCTGAGCGACAGCGATGGCTCAGGGAACCGCAGGTCGTAGCACGTCAGCAGCCCAATCTTGCCGATCGCCGTCTGCCTTGGCGCCAACAGCTGGCTGCCCTTGAGCGTCGAATCGCTCTCGAGGATCTTGAGGCCTCCCTTGATGTCGACGTCGAACAGATGCAGCTTGCGGTACTTGTCGAGGATGTCTCCTTGCTGGTCGATCAGCAGCTGGGTGTTGTAGCAGCGCAGCCGTCCACGGTTCTCGACCATGTCCGTGGCGTCCTGCTCGGCACTTGGCGGCTCGTGGATGCCCACCGAGACCCACACTTTCGCGTCGCGCGCGGCGCTCTGTATACCTTTCACAAACTCGACGTTGTCCGCAGAGCGTGTAAGCTCAGCGACCGCAGCGGTAGGCGCAATGAAGTCGGTCGCCTCGGGCAGGAAGATCGCTTTGGCTCCCGAGCGAGCGGCGCGCTGGATCACCGAGACGGCCTGCGCGAGGTTGTCGGCGATCACGCCGGTGCTCTTGATTTGCGCCACGGCCGCGAGCACCATGGTTGCGTGATTGTCAATGTATGAACGGGCTGCTGACGAGGGCAGAGTCCAGCGTGCTATTTACGGCGGTGGTCGTGGTCGGGCGTTGCTATCGATGCAGGGTTGTAAGGCATCGGCGGCTCGGATATGCCGCTGCGCTCTCTTTGTGGAGGCGGCGGCGGGTGGGAATCGGGTCGTGACAGCCCGGATGTGCCGATGCTCCGCGCGTGCCCAAGACGAAATTCGCCGACAAGCGACGCTGAGCTTCCGAGAAATTTGGGGCCGCACAGCCTCCAAGCGAGATGGCATGCTGGGCTGCAAAGCATGGACGCCGAGTCCCACTCGCTGCTCAGCGACTGTCTTTGCCAGGGCTTTCAGCATATTCAGCGCATGACAGTGTCGTTCGGATGGGGAGTGTGCCGGCGTTGGAACCAGGCCGTAGCTAGCGAGGCGTGGAAAGGCCGAAACCTGCAGAAGAGCTCGGACCTGCCGTGCAGCCAGGCCTAAGGCACATTTCGCGCGACCCTTTTCTCGGCATCGAGACGCATGTGTTGACGCATGGACCTGCACCTAGCCAGATGCGCCCGTGCCGCTTTCCACCAGAGCTCGAGCGGTCACGTCCCTTCCTTCCGCTTCATCACTTGACACCACCCGTCGTTCTCATCCACGTCCCGCGCGTGCAATGCCGCCCCTGCACTCGACCGAGCAAGTCGAGTTGATGTGGAGCACGCCGGCACTTCCGTTCGCACTCCCATAGACACCTCCGATCGTCTGCAATGGCCGACCAGCAGGCAGGCCAAGAGCCCGACGAGTTTGGCGCGCTGCCCGGCGGCGTCTCGAATCTACGCTCCAGATTCGAACAGCTCTCCAAGTCCGAGTCCAGCCGTCCCTCGCATACACCACACACCTCGTCCAACAACATCCGGCACAAAGACCTCAATGCAACCCACACCTTTGGTCTCGCCGAAAAGAAGCTGTCACTTGCTCAGAATGCTGGCAACGGCCCCGTGCGTCCACCAAAGCCAAAGAAGGCTCCTTCTCCCGTCTCGGATGATCCATCCGCCTCGCTTAAGCCTGCTCATGCAGGTCCTTCCACCATCAGCGTCGCCGACCTCGCCGCGCTCTCGGTATCGGCAGGCTCGAGCACCTCCAGCGTAGACCAGATTAGACCGGCGAGCATCAAAGACAGGCAGATCAGCCACACACGGGTGCCATCGGGACAGGCGAAACAACTCGCTGCCTCGGCCTGCAAGTTCGGCGAACCCGATCGCTCGTTGCGCGCCTCGAAACCTTCTCTTCCGCGTGAATCATCGTCGAGCATGTCTGCCTCGACCACCGCCTCCGCTACCGCCTCAGCTTCCGCTTCGGATGCGGAAGGTCCGAGCAAGCCGAGGCTGCCGCCGCCTAGGCCTCCGAAACCGTCCACGTCGTCACATGGCGTCCAAATCCTCGGCGACTCGGACCTCGAGCGTCTGGCTCACATGGGCTCATCTTCTCGCGTCACCTCCATCGCCAACCTCTTCGGCAGTCACTCGGCCGCCAAGCCCAAAGCTGCAGGCACGAATGCCACACTCTCGCCGGGGCGCATCTCCACCGGCGGTCACTTCCTCAAGTATTCGCGCTCCAACGAGCAGCTCTCGCCCACGGCGCCTGCTGCAGAGTCACAGTCGGACCCGTTCAAGAAACTCCCACCCACCGTGCCGCCACGTCCCTTGAAGACAGACGCGTCCGCCGACAGCCTGTCTGCACTCCCTGGCTCTATCGCATCCGTTCTGCTTGATGTGGACAGCGGCTCCTTCCCTGCTGTCCCTACGAAACCAGTAGCGACCACAGTGACCAGAGCGTCTCCACCTCCTCTGCCAGCGCGAGAGTCGGTCCCGATCGACAATGTCGAGTTCCGTCGCAGGAGCTTGAGCGCCTCCAAGAGCACGGGCTCTCTGCCAGTCTTGTCCGACATGTTCCCAGCTGAGGAGCTCGACACGCCACCCTCGCCCGCTCGCAGACCTGCCGGCACAGATGCAGCAACCATGACACAAGACGGCTCGACATTCTTGCCCCCGCCTCAGCGCACTACGGCGCCACCGGCCTCGAATCCAGGTCCACATCGCGCACACACTGTCAGTGCAAGGACGAAACCCATTCCTGTGCCGTCCTTGGCCGCCAGGCAGACAAAGCATGCTCGAAGTATGACTCCGAGCGGAACGGACTTCGTTGCCGCGCCCATCTTGCCTCCACCAGTGCGGAATGCAAACGCCACGTCGGCAGCTGCGGCTACCAAGAGCTTTGGCTCTTCAGGCTTCGCTCGCCGTCAGCCTGGCTCCGACAGTTCCGAAGAGGAAGACGACGGGGATTTTGCCTCGTCTCTCTCTCCCTCGTCTTCTTTCAAGGCCACGGCAGGGCTGCGCAGATCTCACGCTGCTGCCGACATGACGCCTGGCGGACTGCCTGATACCTCTCACGCCAACCGTCGTGCGCCCAAGTTCAATCCAGACTGCGGCACCTCGGCAAAGCAAGGATTCCAGTGCTTTGCCGTCTGCGGCCACACCGTCGTGACGGGCAGCGGAGACAAGGTCAAGGTCTACCGCGTCGGCGAGTCGGCATCCGGCGTCGGCGAGAAGCTGTGCACGGTTGGCGAGCATCTCTCCAAAGAAGTCAAGCTGACTGCGCTCGAATTCCGACCACCCAACCACGGCATCGCGCCCGTGCCGGCAATCGGCAGACGCTCGCATGGCGAAACAGCTGACGAAGGCAGGTATCTCTGGTGCGGAACAAAGGATGGCCACATCTGGGAGCTCGACATTGCCGAGGCGCAGGTGGTCCACTCGCGTCAGAATGTGCATAGCGATCCAATCCAGCTGCTCAAGCGAGTCGGCAACAAGATGTTCAGCCTCGACGAAGGCGGCAAGATCTCGATTTGGCTTCCCAGCGCCGACCCAGACCCAGCCATTGCGGGTCTGCGTCTGTCAAACCAGCCCATCACCCAGCGTATTGCCATGGAGAAGGGCTCGCACGCCTGCATCGTCGGTCAGCAGCTCTGGGTCGCCGCAGGACCCTCGGCGCAGAGAAATGCGAAGGACTACGCCGGAAGCAAAGGCCCTCGCATCCGCATTTACAATCCGTTCGCCGACGACAAGCCCTTCAACGCGCTCTCCAAGGCGGCCGCCATCGCTCCCGAGATGGCCGAGGGTGTCGGCGTGGTCACGGGCGGAGCGGTCATTCCCTCACGCCCGGACTATGTCTACTTTGGTCACGATTCCGGCCACGTCTCGATCTGGTCGCGGCAGACGTACGAGTGCGTCGGTGTGCGCAAGCTCGGCCCGCATGGCATTACTGCCCTCGCAGGCGTGCTCAAGTACCTATGGGTCGCAACCCGAGCGGGCACCATCTCGGTGTTCGACACGGACACTGCACCTTGGCGAGCCATCAAGATATGGACCGCGCACAAAGACCCAATCACCGCGATCAAGGTCGACGAGCATGGCATCCAGAAAGTGGGGCGCCTGCAAGTGGCGTCCGGCGGTCTGGACGCTGCGGTGCACCTATGGGACGGCACACTGTCGTTCGACTGGATCCAGGCAGAGCAGAGCAAGCGAGAACACGAGTTCAGCACATACCGCAGCATCAAGACGCTTCAGGTCACGTTCAACATGGATGCCGCCTCACCTGCTGACCTGGAGACGTCGGCCGAGAACATGGAGGTGTTCGGTTCAATGCTGCGCAATGCGTGTCAGATCGGATCGGACTCGCTCGCGGCAGATCGTCCGCCGGACATCATCGTTTTTGGATTTCAGGAGCTCATCGATCTCGAGAGCAAGAAGCTTACGGCCAAGAGCTTGTTGCTCGGCGGCGGCAAGAAGAAGGCGAACGATCTCGGCGATCGTGTCTCGCGCCAGTACCGGGCGTGGTACGACAAGTTGATCCAGATCGTGCGGTATGCGATGCCTCCGACGTGTGGTTATCTGCTCGTGCAGTCCGAATCGCTCGTTGGTCTCTTCACGTGCGTGTTTGTCAAGCAGACCGAGTTCAAGAACATTCGCGAGCTCGCGATCAGTACGGTCAAGACGGGCATGGGCGGGAGGTACGGTAACAAGGGTGCGGTGATTGCACGCATGGTGGTGCAGGACACTAGCATTGTGTTTGTCAACTCGCATTTGGCGGCCGGACAGAAGCACGTCAAGCAGAGGAATGCGGATGTGGCGGACATCCTCGAGTATCCGACGGTGTTCCAGGATGCGCATGCTGATCCAGCGGCGTACGTGGGCGGAGGTGACGGCAGCATGATTCTGGATCATGAGCTGTGTTTCTGGGCCGGTGACCTCAACTACCGCATCGATCACTCGCGAGAGACAGTGTTAAGCGCCATTGGCGCGCGGAAGATTACGCCGTTGCTGGAACAGGATCAGCTGCGAAAGGAGCTCAAGCAGAATCCAGCATTCCGGCTCAAAGACTTTTCAGAAGCACCAATCTCGTTCCTGCCCACGTACAAGTACGACCGAGGCTCGTACGAGTGGGATACATCGGAGAAGAACAGGATCCCCGCATGGTGCGATCGAATCTTGTTCAAGTCCCACCACCCCGAACGCATCCGCTGCCTCGAGTACCGACGCTGGGAAGCCACGATCAGCGACCACCGTCCAGTCACGGCGATCTTTGAGGCAAAGATCAAGGCGGCCGATCACTCGAAACGCCAACAGGTGCTTGACGAACTCAAATCTGCGTGGTCCTCCCTCGAGGAGAAGCTGCTCGCCAACGCGGTCGTGTTCTACTCGGACCCGCAGTGAGGCACAGCCTCTGTAGACTGGTGTAGAAGCACACATGGGATACTCCAGGTCAAAGTAGAATTGCACACACACTTTGAATGTGATCGTGTCTAGCGCTCTGTACCGTCTCCCTTGTGTGTGAAGATGGGAGTGTGCGTGTGCACGCGTGCTCAGAGCTTGGAGCGTTGCTGCTCCTCCGCCTCGGTTGGCTGGGCGAGGAGGACGCCGACTTGAAAGTCGCGCAGGTGGGCGAGGCCTCTGCGCACCGCTCCGCGCACCGTCATGCCGCCGCCGTGCTCGGGTGCGCGCGGCGAGACGTAGAGCCGGTTCAGCGGCGTGCCCTTCAGTGGCGGTGCTTGCTCGCTTGCCTGAGCGGCGGCAGACTCTGCCGCACCGCCCGGAAGAAGGAGGCCGGCGCGAGCGCGTTGCTGCTGTGCGGGCGAGGCCTGCCAGTCGCCCGGCAGGACGAGAGGGAAGACAAAGCTGTCCTCTCGCTCTTCGGTGTCGATGCCCTCGCTGCTTTGTTCCGCCAGCACGCGGTTCTCGTCGATCTCTTTGCGGATGTCGAGCATGGCGCCGAGCTTCGGGAACGCGCGCGGCTCCACCGCCGTCACCTCAGGGAAGGACGAGTCTGGGTCGCTTCCCAGAGCGCGCAGCTTCGAGAGCGGCGGATTCGTGTCCGACACCCACGAAGTAAGAGGTGCAGTGCTGGAAGGCACATCCTTGCGGTCCCACGAGTAGTTGCGACCTTTGAGCCCGCGACTCTCCTCCTCGACCGGCGTTACGCGGAACTCGGCATCCGCAGACACCCGATCCGTCGCCTGGCTCGGATCAAAGATCAACGGGATGATGGGTACGCGTCCGTCCGAGGTAGCCGCTCGCAGAGCAGTCTCGAGATCGGCAAGGATCTGCGCGAGTAGGTTCAGTGTAGAGTCAGTACAGCTGATCACTCAGTGTGATGCGAGGTCCGAGCGGGCACGGTCAGCTGAACTTACGTAAAATTGTGGTGGGAAGAGCGAGATTTGGTCGGTGATGCCGGCGTACATGATCTCGCGCGGAGTCTGCAGACGCAGCGACAGCGTCTCTGCGCCATCGGCCGAGATTTGCAGCGACTTGTCGTCCCCAAACACATCCGGCGTGTCGAGCACGGTGACGAAAAAATGAGCATCGAAGCGTTTGGCGGGCCGCACCACGCTGCGCGGAGTGATCCAGTTGGAGTGGTGGGCCATGGGAGCGAGTTCGGGGAGCGCCGCATCTCCTGCTCCGAGCTTGCCGGTCAAGCCGAGCTTGCTCGACACTCTGCGCAGGAAAGGAGCAAAGTCGATGGCGTTGTGGTGAACGTCGTTGCGGGCATGCGACCATTCCTCAGCCGACATGCCTGCTTCTTGGTGCCCGACGGCACGGCTGGTGGGCAAGCCAGAGGCGCTAGGTGTTGCCGACGGCAGGAGGAGCAGGCCAGTCTCTTCAAACGTCTCACGCAAGGCGCAGAGCTTGAGCGCTAGCATGTATCTCTCCTTGGCTGCGTCTGCGCCCGTGCCCGGCGTTGTCGATTGCAACGCAGCTTCGACCTCTGCTTCATCTACAAGGTCAAGCGCGCCTCCCGGGAAGACGACGGCGGAGCGGAAGCTGGAGCCATCTCGGGCAGACCTCTGCACCATGAGCGTGTCGTACTGCAGCCCGCCATCAGGCTCGCGGGTGGACCGTGGGCAGAGGACGATGAGCGTGGCCGAGGGCAGCGGCGTCATGGGTTCGCCTTTGGTGCCCGTCTTGTGATCCGACGGGCGCTGTTGGCCGCGCGGCTTGGACGGTTTCCATTCCTGAGCAGAGCTTTGAGACGCCATTTCGAGACGAGGAGCGTGACTATATGACAAGAAGCGGTGGCTGGAAAGTTGATCACGGAGCGTGGGAACGTGACTTCTGCGCGTGCTGGTAGTCGCAAGTGACTGGAAGCGAAGGAGGTTCGGGACTTCCGCTTGGGGTAAGCTAGCGACTGTACGGAGCAGAGCGGAGGCCGGCTTCAGTAGCATGTTACGGATGAGAGGCAAGGGAGAAGGGTCAAGCTCGTCGGCACATCCGAAGGAACGGGGCTCTGTTGCAGCGTCGAAGGCCTTGGCAGAGTCGCATCCAGCTTCAGGCGACCTTTGTGTGGGGGAAACCCTAAGAGCGAAGCGCTTTGTGCCCGCCCGCATTTTGAACGTCGGCAAATCCGGAGCTCCGGTAAAGGCGCGCTGCACTCCACACTCGCCTGCCGCCCGAAGTCGCGACTCGCGCCACAAGGTTAGCCGGTAGGCCGATCCGCCGTCCTGTCAAACTGGGCCCAACTCTTCGTGTGAAATGCGGTCAGATCCGAACAACGATGCCAGGAGGCGCATCACAGTGACAGCTGCAGAAGGCCCGACCCGTTGGAAGAGGCTGCGTTCTGACCAATATGTCTGACCTCAATAGCCAGATTTGAGCTCGAAAGCTTCAGACGCTACACTTTCCTGTATCATCATGTCGGAATGGTCGCATTCGCTAGGCTACTCTGCTGCAGATATCTTTCCGGATACCGATAGCGAGGGGGAAGGAGAAGGTGGTTCTACGACTGTCGCGGATGGACCGGTGAGGAGCATTTCCTGATGAGTAGATCATCTGATGCTCGACAGCGACACTGATAAGAAACAAATCCAGGTTTCCGCTAAAACAGTAGCCGATGATGAGGAGAAGGTCGATTTCATCGAGACGCCATTGTGAGCTTTGTCGGCTATGGGTAGGGTGTAGCTCAGCATGACTTTGAATGAACTGACCAATAGGCAAACGTGACAATGCCAGCACCATTGCTGCACGCAATGCGCTTTTCAGAAAAGCGAGGCAGGGAGCTTTTCCTGCTCGTGAGACAGCAACGCCGAAGTCAACCGATGACAAGGGCAAGAGCCGGGCTCTTGATGCGGTAGGAGAGTATCATAGCCCTGCCTCAGAGCTCACACCATTGAGTGAAGCTCAAGCTCCGCCGCATCGGTTCAGCTGCCACCAAGAGCCCATCGAGGTCATCGTCGTTTCCTCGGACAGCGAGTCTGAAGAGGAACTAACTTCCGGCTCAGGGGCACGGCATGCTGGAGCAAACGACGCGGAGCCGGAGCGCTCAGGTGCAGAACATGGCTCAGAAGTAGAGCTGGGCAGCGAGAGCATACTAGACCAGCTGTTCGAGGAAAATCACGAGTTCTACGACCGGCTTGGCCGCGAAGTCATCCCGAGGGGACGGGCAACATCCCCTGGATGCTCGTCAGCACAAATGGACACCCTCATGACTGATGGAAGCACAACATACGACACTTCGTCTTGGGCACCGACCGAGCCGGCCTACTACCATACACCATCCGGATACCCGGCTTGTGATCCTGTGCCGCTGCACTATCCGTCTCCGCACACCTCAGAGGGAAACGCGGACCAGTACGCGCCTGTTCGGTGGCAACAGCCACATGTGCAGACCACGGACCACCATAATGGATACGGCTGCATGGAGCCTCAGACCATTGGCTGTTACTACGAACCGCATGTGCACAATCACCGGTACGACCATCCGCCAATGGCAGGTCAGACCCCTTGGCAGCCTGAGGTGTGTCGCCCACAGTCTATGCAGATGCCCAGCCACGTGCAGCATGGCATACACTCCTCAATTTCTCCCAACGCGCACACGAGGACTCATCAACGTAAAACTCCGCGGCAGATACAAGAAGACACGGAGAAAGCGGACAGTAAGTCGACGTATTGCTGCATGGCAGGATGGAATGCTCAGCTGACGGCAGATTGCGATCTCGTTTTGCAGTCGTTCTGAAAGCGCTACGGGGCTCGAGCCGGCGTGCGCGGACGCACAGTCGCAGTAAGCTTCTGGCCTCATCCATTGGCTCCCGCGCATTCATGCTCATTACCTCAAATTGTCGCCACAGGTACAGATTCCAACCGAGCCTCGTCCAGTCGCCACGAAGAAGGCGAGGAATGGTCTACGCTGCGAGCGACGCGCACACGGCCGGACGGTACGCTTTCGCTGACAGCGGCGATGCGCCGGCCGATCCCGCCCACACGCCTCGCGCCGAGCAGCCGTGGCGGCAGCCGTCTAGCGTTGCCGCTCTACCGCACGGTGGGCAGCTCAGCGGAAGAGCGCCGGCGTGCCGAGAACCTGCTGGACAGGCCACCCTCAATCGTACAGACAGGACGAAAACGAGAAGAGCCCGTAGTGTCCCCAGTGGCAGTGGCGCCCAGAACCAAGCGGCTCTTCCAGCCCGCGCCGCTGCCGCCCAGCACCTCTTCGCGCACCGTCACGGAACGAGATCGACGCTGAGACTTGCGACCAAAGTAGCGACAATTCCGTGGCGACTCGTATGATACAACCTCTCTCAGCAGGGAAGGCTATTTGGTTGAAAGCGACAATGCTAAAATGATTGTTTGATGCAGATGCAGATGGAACAATGAAGGCCGAAGGCAGAGCGAACAATGTCGTGGCACGCAAAGGGGATGGTAATGGACGACGAGACGAATTAAGCGAAAACAGCGACGACGGCGGCGGCAAGAGCGAGACCAGAGCCGACCATGGCCATGGTGTCGGGGCGGAAGGAGGAAGCGCCGCTCTTCTGGTTGGAGGAAGAGGAAGACGACTGGGTGGAGCTGGTCTTGGGTGCCGAGGCGGATCCGGAGCTCGAGTTGGTGGAGCTGCTGGTGCTGTTGCTGGAGCCGGAGCCCGAGGACGAGCCCGAGCCCGAGCTGGACCCAGAGCCGGACGAGGAGCCGGTGGTGGCGGAGGAGCCGCTGGCGGCGGCAGAGGCGTTGTCGTTGAGGCACGAGGTGTCGGTGCCGGCGAGGACGCTGACGGTGCCGCTGTATTTCTTGACACCGGTGTCGTCCGAGATGGCAAAGGTGACCTCGGTGCCGGCGGCGACGTTGGGAACCCACTTGATGCTGTCGGTGCTAGCATCCTGGGCGGCAAAGCTGACGAGCGGGGCGGCCGAGATCTGCTTGCCGGGGAGGATGGTGACGTAGGCTGATGTAAGAAACAAACGAGGATGATAGGAAAGGTCAGCACAAGATCCGTGGTAGCGATGAGTAGATGTATGCTGGACTTACCCTTGCCCTGGGCGCCCTGCCAGGTGAGCAGGACGGGCTGGCACTGGGTGAGCGAAGCCGGGGTGCTGATGGTGGGGCCCGCGGCCGAGACGACGGCGGCACCAGCGAGGAGGGTGGCGAGGAGGACAGAAGCGTTGGTCATCATGATGTCGGTGAGTCTGTTAGAGGAGGGGGTGGTGGAAAGGAAGGAGGGCCGAACGAAACAACAACAGCGCACAAAGGTCAGAGGCAACTTGCCGGACACTTATATCGCAAGCGCGGGCTCAAACGGAGGCAGGAGGCGAGTGTGCGAGTGTGCACGCAAAGGGTGGGCTCAGGGGTCGCTCGGCCGGTGGGCGTGTTCGGCTGGCTATATTGACATCGAGAGGCGCTCGGCCTGATGAGGTGCTGCAGGCGCGAGCGCTTTTCAGCTTCATTAGCAAGGAGCAACGGCTGCGAGGTGGGTTTGGCCAGGCTCTGCATCGGCATTGTTCGAAATAGCCACACAGGCGCTCGCTGTTAGATGCCGGTGGGGACGATGCCGAGACGACAATGGCGAGCGAGGAGAATGCATTGTTGGATCGAGAAACTTTTGGTCAGGCGAGGGTGTATGCGCGAAGAATACCGAGGACGGCGAGGCATCAGAGGAGTCGGATGGCGTAGACAGCTGTCGATGGAGATCCGAGCGGGCGGCATGTCCTGCAGAAATTCCTGACAACCTCCCTTCGGCACTGCATGATCATCACGTCTGTCACACCGAGACTCGACCAAAAATCGCCGGAGGCCCTTGAAGATGCAAGCTTGGCCTCACGTGTTGGACAGGTCCTGCGCGTCTGGGAGAGCTGGTCGGCCGAGAGACCAACACCAAATTACGCGACCCAAGTGTTGGTCTCACTGCGCCCATCACCACTTGCCTCCTGTATCCTCCGCCGTCTCAATCACTCGCGCTTCGCGCTTGTACAGCATCACAGCTGTCATAGAGTCACCCATACTGTCTTCCCCTCCCTTGCTGCTCGTGCTTGCACTCGGCTGGCCCCCATCTCGGCGGACTTGGAGCCATTCGAACTCAAGGACCTCACGTTTCTTTCGCTGCAAACCTGTTCCTCTCGCACGAGTGCCCCTGCGTGTTGGTCGAAAAGGCCGATGAGCTTGAATTTGATGCCAAGAACGTTGCATGCAGGTTAGCCACGACGCTGCCACGACACACCACGCTTGTGTGGTTCCGGATAGCGCGCTCTCTCTGTCATGCATGCACTGCGATGCTTCTCGGGAACTTCGGTGCTCGGGTCCCGACCCAAGGTAGCGGCGGCCGCTAAAATCAGTGCACAGCCCTCCTGCTACTCTGATGGTGAGCGCCAACGGCCGGGCTGCACTTCGCCCGTTGGCGACATTTGCCGTGTCATGTCCAAGCCGCCGCTCCATGTCCTTTCATCTGCAAGCACCGCTGAGTCCCCCCACACGCCCACCATCGGGTCCAAGCTGCATCTGCTGCCTCTCTTATAATACACCCTTCACCGCATACCTCGGCCTCGTTCTAGTATTGAGACACACCTTCGAGCAACGGCTACCATCTGCGACCTCTTTCCGGTCGGCACGTTGCGGAACCTCCGACGGCCTGCACGTCGTCTTTGATATTGGAGTCATCTAGAACTCGAAAGTCGTGGCTTCGCTGACAGCCATGTCGAATTTTCATCGGCCGTTCCGTGCGCAGCAGCAAGCCGATGCACCTCCTGAAACGGCGATCCACGACGAGCCCGAGGTCATCGATCCCAACCTCTACGGCCCCTTTGGCCATCGGTACCACGACAGCGCTGTCGACGTCCCGCATCACGCTGATTCGAGCCACGCCGCGCATCCCTCAACTACTTCCTGGCACGATGTAGAGACTTCGGAGCAGCACCGACATCACAACAATGTTGCCCACGCACAGCCAGTGGACCCGCAGCTGCAGACCGCCATCCCACTTGGGGACCTGTCCCGAAACCACTCTGCGACGCAGTCCATCTCGGACGCGAGCCAGCGAGGCTTTGTTACGCATGCGGCACCCATGGCTGTCGAGTATACACAGGACAGCAGATTCACTGTGCGCTCTAGCTTCGAGAAACCGCCCATCGGCGCAGGCTCGCGTGCCTCCCACTCGCATCTGCGCCGCAGGTCCAAGGGTTTTGGAACGCACCACTCTCGCGCCGGAAGTTTGTTCGATCTGGTGCACGGCAAGGAGAGAAGCAAGATGTCTGACAAGCCGCACATTGAAGTGCATGGCGAAGACGTGCCTATCACCGTGCGCCACCTCATCAAGCGGCCCATCATCCGCCAGTGGCTTCACGGCAACAAGCTTTACCGCGAAAGGGACGAGCGCAAACCATCGCAGTTTGAGCTCGTCTTCGACCTCATCTTTGTCGCCGTCGTCAACGGCCTCGGTCACGCCACGGCCGAAAGCAGCTCGGCGATCAATGTGCTCAAGTTCGCCCTCTCCTTCTGGCCGTGCTTCTCGCTATGGACCGACGTGAGGCTCTTCCTCAACACCAGCGGCACGGACGACATGCTCGAGAGGCTGCTCATGCTGGGCTGGATGATCTTGCTCGGAGGATACTGTGCCAACGTGTCGGGAGTGGAGCTGATCAAGGCCACGCCCGAGCTGCTGGCGCAGCTGCACAGCGAGGAGGCGACGGGCGAGGCATCTTCGCAGATGAATGCGCACGGTATCGTTCAAGAGCTCGAGTCCATCTTCCGCCGGGCAGCGTCCGCAGACTCCGCAGGGGCGGAAGAGGTGAAGCTCGCAGTGCCCGCGTTCGGCGGCTACTGGTTTACTGAAGGATACAACCGCGCGATCCATGCAGCGATCGGCTTCTTCCTCGTGTCCAAGCTCTGGAGACTGGGCATCTACATCTACTACGGCTTCTGTCTGCCCAAGTTCCGAAAGGCGCTCTGGCTCAATGCGCTGGCCATGACTGTCATTGCGGCCATCTATATCCCGATCACGCTCACCGACAGTCCGTTGCTGATTCTGATCCTGATGGGAGCCGGCATCGGCGTCGAGCTTGCTCGGGCCTATGTGGTGGCTGCGGCTATCAAGCTGTTCCACAAGCGCTCCAAACGCACGGGCAACCACATGTTTATCCCTGCCCAATCACACGAGCACTCGATCGAACGCTATGTGCTTTTCGTCATCCTCATCGTCGGCGAGTCGATCATCAGCAGCAACTTCGTCGCTCGCCCAGGCAGCTTCGGTCTCAATCACGAGTTCGGTCGCATGGCACTCGGCATCACGATCAGCGTGCTGGTCATCTGGATCTACTACGACGCCGACGGCAGCCGTGTCTATCAGCACGCGCTCCGCCGCAACTCATTCACCAGCATCACCTTTGGCCACATCCACTACCCTCTCACTGCCTCGCTCATTCTCATGGCCGCCTCCCTCTCGGCACTCATCTCCAACACAAAGATCAAGGGCGGCTACGTGTGGTACTTTGGCGGCTCGATCTCGTGCGTCATGCTCTGCCTGGGTCTCATCGGCATGATGCATCGCAATCTCGACGTGTACCGATCGACGCTCGTGCCGCGCTGGGCGCGCATCACCGTACGATTCCTTGCTGCCATCGAGTTTGGCCTGCTCCCGCTCAAGTCCGACTGGAAGTCGCTCAATCTGCTTGGCACCGTCGCGGCAAGTCTCGCAGCGATTGTACTCTTTGAGACGCTCGGCAAAGTCGGTGCCGTCGGTCGTCGATTCGACGCGGACAAGAGTCAGGAGCTGTACGCCAACATGAGTGCTACTGGCGAGAAGAAGCTCAAGCTCGACAGGAGAGCCAGCTGGCATCCCTTCGACGATCTCACCCCGGGAGAGCTCGGCGAAGAGGACGTCGGCATCGAGTCCGAGATCGGCCATCTCGAAGAGAAGGACCTCACTCATGGTCAGCGGTGGGCCTACGCCGCTTGAAGCTTCCCTCCCCGTTTGCACAGTGTCACATTCTTTCTCAGCACAATCTTTTCTTCTTGCATCTTTTGGCACTTCGTCGGCTTCCATCCCAGTCTTTTTTCGCATCGCCGCTCTACAGAACCCGCTCCTTGTTCGCATGGCAATGATAGACTTACGCATCTGCTGATGCTCGTGCGAATTCGAGGCAAGGTCTGATGATCACAGAGGGGCTACAGGGGGGGGGGGGGGGGGGAA